AAAAAAAAATGAACATCACCGCAGGCCTGCCCACACGCCCCCAGCTGTCGCCGGCTTCCAGCCGAGGAGCCCAGAGCTCCGGGTGTCGAACTTCCGGAGCTCCCGGGTCCGTGCCAGGGCGGGCGGGATCTCGTAGACTTCGCAGCAGACCTCAGCTGACCGACATGGCTTTTAGAGGCTTTAAAGGCGGTTTTCCCCAAAGGAACAACCACTTTGGGGTTCAGACAACCCCAACATGTGAAAAGGCGTCTTTATTCGAGGGTACTTTGCAGGGGTTGGTCTCAAGGGAAACCCAGGAAACCCGCCTGCCTTTGCGTGCAATCACAGAGAAACAAACGGTATGAGTGCCGTGTCCGAAAAAAAAAGATGTCACCGATGTCCATCTGGGCCGTGTGCTTTCTTTGGCCACTTTGCAGCGGCAGCACGCCTCAGCCAGATCCATCATATCCGCCCACAGCCATCAGGGGCAAGTGACATAATGAAATGCGAAGCTAGCCCAAATCCAAAGGCTCTTGCCACTTCCGCCGCGCAAAAGTCCTGTTTTACCCCACGAGGTCTTTGGGCCCGGGGCAATGCAGAGAGCATTCGCCCGGAGCCGCCTGAGCTCCACACTGCAAGCAGCACAATCTGCGGTTGTCGAAGGTGAACCACCGCTCCTTTCGTAGCTGGGGCTTGGAGCCTTCTGGCTTTTGAGCAGCCAACGGCTTTGTACCTCTCAATATGAGATCCCTCTCTGGGTGAAATGATTCTTGGCAGTCTACTTTTGGTTAGAGGACGACAAAGACAAGCGGACAACCTAAATCCCGCACAACTCTCCCCGCAAAGGGAAGCCGAAAGCCGCCTGACACATCCCCCGGGGCAGGTCTCACCTCGCTCCTCCTGGCTGTAGAGCTCCAGCCCCGTCTCTGGGTCAATCCTGGGCGCGCCCTCGGCGTCCCTCAGCTTGCATCGCCACCTGGGAAGCTTCGCATCCGGCGAGTTGTTCAAGCGAAACCCGCCCAAAAAAGATGAGGAGGGGGACCAAAAAATCCCCGTCTGATAATCCCTTCAAGTTCATGCCCAGTCCTTTTTGTTGACAAACTTCCACAACCCTCCTGTCTTCTGCCAATCTATTACTCAATCAAGTGTTTTCCCCACTGAGGTCCTTGGGTGTAGAGTTTTGGCTTCCCTTCACAATCCAAGGCTACCCTGGACGTGTCCGCTCCTCGTCACCTCGATGCGAGGGAAGGGAGGCGCCAACAGAATGGCATCCTCCTCCTCGAAGGTGGTGTCTCTTGCCTGCCCAAACCCCAGCTTGGGGTGTGCCGAAATGGGAAGGCACCCAGGTGGCTTGGCAAACACCAACCAACTATCGTAGAGCCACCGAATTGTCAGCCAGCACCCGAGTTTGGCCGTGGGTCTTTTGCAACTATTTGCACCCTTCGCACCCTTCGCACCATGGAACACGGGCAAACTAAGCCCAAATCAAAATCTCTGAGCACGTGCTCCGGTGCGCGTTGCGAAGAGGGATCACCTTCGGAGGCTTTGGGACGTCGCGGGGTCACTCGCTCCAACGTTCGCCTTTGTCTCCTCCAAGGCCGTCTGGAGCGTCCTGCCATCCTGGAACTCAAACCTGCCATCCGTTCGGCCAAAACCCAAGTCTGGTATGGGAAAAAAAAGTGGTGGTGTCCTTTTGCCAACCTTTAAAAGGGGACCCTCGGAAAAACACACTCACGAATGTTACCGGCGCGACTGGCGCAAGCACCCTCTATCCAGCCCCACTCGGAGAGCCTCTCAAGAAACTTTCCAGTGGAACGCTTCAAGAGCATGGGACAAGGTTCTATCATAAGAGGGGTACATAGGTGGCCAGCCATTGTGTGCGAACATGGTTAAGTTAAAATGATCGTGCTTACAAAAACTTGATTCATTTGGCATCCGTTTAAAGGGGGGCCTGGAGCTGCCTGTCTAGACCGATTTTGCTTTGCCTGCGGTGTGTTGGCCCCGTTTTCCTATCATCCCACAAGTTCCTCCCTGGCTTTGCCACGCAAATGACATCTGGCAACCCTTGACGAGCTCCCCAAGCCAAACAGATCCGAAGCGCCTTATGCGGGTCTGCGAGAAGTGGATCTCGAAGGGCGACAGAGTGATGATCCTGAGCCCGTTGACCTTGTCGAGCCGAGCCGGCCGCTGCGCGGAACGAAGGACGCCTACGAATGCGTGGCTTCTCCGCGGCTTTTGAAAAGACACGCTGACATATCCGGGTTGATTGGCCCCGAAGTGCAACAGTTGGCTAGCCGCAGTTGAAACCTCAAACAGACTTGAAGACCGATGTTCAACAAGCTGCCCCACAACCTGGGAACGTGCGACATTCGCGGGATTGCAAAAGCCTCTTGCAACAGCGTGCAACCGTCGGCCAAATTTGGTCGGGGGAGAATCAGCACATGCCTCCTCCGCCATGCGGTCACGCCTGACATGCTGCGCCAGAGGCGAGACGGTCTGTTGCGGTCTTCCGAGCTTCCACCGCATGCAACATGCCGCCATCCAGGTGACCAATGTGCAAAATGTTGCTGAGACTCAACATACATCCGGAGTCTAATTTTGAATGTGCCATATCGCTTCAATTGGTTGTCTGATGTTTCGGTGATCAGCTGTTTATGTTGGTGTTACTTGAGTCATGGCTCGGTGCTTTGCTGGGACCTTTCCTTTGCAACCCTCGCATCTTTTCCGGCCTCGCACTGACCCATGGCAGCGCATTGCGACCGCAAGGCAGCTTCCTCTCGTCTCTCTATTACTTCTCATTGGGTTTGACTCAAAAGGTTCCAGACCAAGAAGCATCCGTGTAATTTCGAGCCACGACCCTGCTCCAGTGTTTGCTTGTCAAATCACAAGTTCACCCCTCGCCAAGAACTGGTTTAGCAAACGGATCTGCCGAAGTTTGCCTAGACCCCTCTGACAAAGGCGCCCGCTTTGAGGCGTCACGGCTGTCAGCCGACTTGAGGCACCCCATCCAGCCCCCACCTCGAAACAAGGCGCTTTCGAGGGTCCCGGGTCCCAGCCCAAAACAAAACACGCCGCCTTCTTCTTGTTTTCTTTGGGAGGAGTGCCCATTTAGTGGGGCTGCAGCCGGGAGCCAAGCCTTCTCAATTCATCAACGTCCTGAGCTCCTGGGACCCCCGTCCAAAGAGCTAAGAATGGCCTCCGAGAATTGGCGCGTCGGAAACCAATCGCAGAAAAACGGGCCGTCACCGAGCAGGAAGATAGACTTCATGTTGACTACCCTGCCCAAGACCATCATTGTCCAGAACGGCATCTTTTTTTCTGTTCCAGCGTGGCGATCTAACTGGTCCATTCTGGAGCAGCTCTCACGGGTCTCTCCCATACGCCAGGCTTGGTCTACAGGGCATCAAGGCCGCGAGGAAAATGACGGGCAAAACACGTGGCGATCCTCCGGGCCAAATCAACCGCGGCAATCACTCTTGGTCCCTTGAGTTGAGTGGCTTTCCCAATAGCCAGGATTCGCCCTTCAGCAGAAACCTGACACTCGGGTGAGACACCCTAGCTGGGCGGTAGCGCCAGTGTGGCCAGAATGGAAGCTCCCACGGAGCCCACGCACAGACCTCAACCAGCCCAACTCTGCGATAGCCACGAGCCATATTCATGGTTTCCGGGGTTGGACAAGAAAATGACAAGAAAACCATTGTGACTGTTGCACATGTTCTCGCCGAATGCTGAAAGAGAAGGGGAACAAATTCCAGAGGTCGCAAACACTCGCGAGTTGCAAGCTGCCAGCATCGGCGCGCACTGCGAGTGTCATGGAAAGGTGGGCCGCTAACAATAAGGGCTGAAAAGTGATGAGGGTGGCTCGGCCTGCGCTGAAACACGTTTGGCAGGGGTAGTGCCAAATAACTTGCAGAGCCTGACAAGTAAATCAACACCCCGAGCGCCAATCCGTAAAAGAGATGTCACACGCGTTTGCCGTTATCCCGGCTTATCCCCCAAATCAACGCAAAACACATGGCAATATAGTCAGCTCATGCTATAATACCCTCACAGGTGAACAGTCTCCATGTAACTGATGTGCAGCAAGGTACCTCACATAAAACACCGTGCACTCGGCCCGCGACCAGTGTTCACAGAGCAGGCCTTAGAGGCGAAATGGAAGGAGATGCTGACTGCTTCCGTGTGCATCTCAAATATGGCATTCTCGAAATAGGGTCCACAAATGGTGATGTCCTTTTGGCGGCCCCTGAAATCAAGGTGAAAATGAGACCCTCCAAAACACACACACACACACACACACACACACACACACACACACACACACACACACACACACACACACACACACACACACACACGCACACACACACACACACACACACACGCACACACACACACACACACACACACACAACACACACACACACACACACACACACACACACACACACACACACACACACACACACACACACACACACACACACACACACACACACACACGCAAACACACATGCAGATTCAGAGATGGGATCGTGGCTTGCACCTACTATGCAAGGTCCGCCCTACGTGCCGTTCGGCACATGGAAGCTTCAGCACCTCCTCTGGTTGTTACCTCCCGGGTAGACTCTGGACGGATCCGGGAATCCGATCCTTGACCCGAAAACTCAAGCGAGTCCCCAGAATGAAAACCCATCAGTCCCTATCCTTAAGCCCAATTGGATCCGGGTACCCCCCGCCGAGATCCGGCCGCAGGTCTTCCTCTGCGGGTTGCTGAGGCTGGGGATCTCGTTGATGACGATGAGGCACAGGGAGGCCTGGCCAGCGGCCAGCGGCCAGCGGCGGGGACCGCGTGGGCTGGAGACCACTTCCCGACATCAACGAATTCCGGACCTCCTTAAGAACAGTCTTACCACTAGCTGACTAAACTAACAAACAAACCACCTTGGCTTCCGAAGGAAGTCTAAAAGCACACGGTGCTCAGAGGAACACATGGGGAATGATATGGGGAAAGCTAGCTGGGTGGAAAGAGGCAAGAGGCAGCACTATCAGTGGTCGCTAGACTTCGTATCCGCCCGCAAATCTGGCAGTAAACAAGCAAAGATAGTGACAGCGATGCGCTTGGTAAGAAGCGTCGTCGGAAAAGCAAAAGCGCGCTGCGTTTGCTGGAAATCCCGATTTCTGCTGAAGGACGCAAAAAGGCGCCTTTTCGAGTCCACGGCTGCAACGTTGGCCGAAAGGAGTTTCCAGGTATAGAGTTCTGAACATGGCCAGACGAAAAAACCCTGATATTGAGTTCTCAAATGGGTATTGCTCAAAATTAATGAGCTAGGGCTACGCATGTTTTAGTCTTTTGTTCCATTTACCCAGGTGCCATTTGCTGCCACCCGCACTTCGACCTCTATGGTGGTGAACAAGGAGACAACAGGAGACAACACCCAAATTTGGGAGGGGGGGGGGGAAGGCGGGGGTTCCCAAACGAATGACTCCAACCCAGTCGGCCCAGGTCCGACTGAATCCCCAAGCCAGGCCCACGCAGTAGCCATTCAAAAAGCCGAACGCCGCCACCACGGCCATGGAGACCAGGTCGCTGCCCGTCTCCTGACGGACGCGACAAGTGGCCGGCCGGCCGGGCCATGGGTGCCGTTGGGTGAGGCGTTGATGGCGAAGCCTGCTGTTTTCCCTTGAACTGTGCAACCTTTTTCAAATCTGCGCTCTGAGCTGGATTCATTACTGCTCTTGTGAACCTCAACTCTGATTCGCTTCCCCCTGCTTCACGACGCGTCTTCAGCTTTTCTCTTGTGCGAGGCGTTTAAAATCCGCTGGCGAGCCAGCTAGGCATCAAGGACCCTGGCTCTGCACATAAACAACCTTATAAGACTCATATCCCAAATCAACTGCCAGGGAACCTGCTCACACTCCATGTCAGATACTGGACGCAAGTCATCTGTGACTCTCGCACCATCTGAGTGGCAAAACTCAGCAACTTAATTACTACTCTTAGAAGCCGCAGCTTGTGTGCCTGCTTACAACAAAGCCTGAAGAGTGCCACAACCACCCTCTGAGACTGTGTGGCTGTGATTTGTCACAAGCTCAGCCCCAGTTGACGCAGAATTTTGGCCCGTGGCAGTGAAAAATGCCCCAAAAGCCGTTGGTGCATTTCACCCACTGCAAGCAGACCACCTTCGCGTTTGGTGCTCCCACTCTGTTTGTACCTCCAGCTTGCGAGGCTTCATGCTCAGCTGGTTCCTCGGCTTCAAGCTCTTGGGCTTCATGTGACTCGGCCGCCTCCGTCACGTCCTTTGGCTCAGAGGTCTTGTCCGCGCCGCGTAGGTGTGGCACTTCGTCCGTGCTTTTGGCCACCAGGACCAAGAGCGTCACCAACGCATAGGACAGCTTCATGGCAGCTACTTCTCCCCCTCGAGCCAGTGCTGGATCCGGCAGCCTTTCCAGGAGCTTCACAGTTTCCTTCGCATCTTCCCCCGTTGAATTTCCGAAGTGCTAACGCCAGAGCGCCGTCCAATCAAATAAATGCCTCAAATGGTTCTCTTCCTACAAGGCCTGCAATTCATGTTGGTCGACCTTCTCAAACAGCCGCAAGTTCAACAGCCGCCTTTTGTTGGACGGCTTGACACCACCATATCGTAGGGTATACACATATGGCCATGGGTCAAACCCGTACCCCCAGTGAACATCCCAATCCCCACTAAAATAGACTAAAATGGGTGGTGCACCTACCCCAAAATGGCACCATTGCCGTTGACCCACGGCCACATGGGCATCTGATGGCCCTTTGATCCCTCTCCGAAGTCAACCCACGTTCCACCTGAGGCGCCGGCAGAAGCTGCGCAGTACACCATCAGGGGCAGCAGCAGCGATCGAACCACCGCCGTCCACTGGCAACACCACGAAGTCCAAAAGCAAAGTTCTACGTGGGAATGGAAAAATGAGGGCATGAATATTTGTACTGGGGGACCTTCTCTTGCTTGCGGTCTCTACTGGATATCCAAACTAGCTGGACACCACAAAAGGTTTCCTTGACATCGACCCCAAAGAACTGTTGCTTTTGACAAAAAGGCCATGCGTTGAAGCTGGGAAGCCTGCCTTTCGGCTGGGCTTGAACGAAATATACATAGGAAACTCGCTTGGAGGGGGTGATTGAAACAGGGGACCCCTTGACAGGTTGGTTCACGTTGAGGAATTTCGTGAAGATATACCCAAAAGTGGACACGATCTTTGACACACATAGCCACGAAGCTCTACGCTTCAACCACTAGAGGGGGCCCGGGCCTGATTGTAACAACATTGCCCAAGCAACCAGGCCTGAACGTTGCCCCAGTAGAGGCCAAAGCGGTGCTGCGTGATGAACCGCGCAGAAATGTCAAAGAGCGTGAACACCTGAGTTAGCGTATTGGTTGTGTATATTTGTAGGTGAGTTTGGTGTAGACTTTGTTTATTGACTTGTTTGATTGGTTTATTCAATCATTTATGTATGTCTGATTGCTTCATTGATGTTTAGAGGAATAGTGTTTGAAACGCGCCCCTTTCCATAGTTCAGCTCAGTTGTCAAACAATTCTACATGGGAAATGCTCTCTCTCTCTCTCTCTCTCTTGTGATTGGGAACCATTTGTTGGTCAGGGGCTTTGCCCTCTCTTTACAAGAGACCCGCGTCTCATGGGACAGCACATATTGGATCTGGGGGGGGGGGGCCAATCTGACAGGAAGGCGATAGCATTTGGCTCGTCTCAGCGCGGGGCCGTGAGCAGAATGGTCTGAAACCAGTGGCCATTGCGCAGCCACGTCATCTGCCTGCACCCATCGAGTCGAGTTGACATCCCACCTGCGAATGGCTTGAAAAGGGCTCCGCCTCTTCGAAATCCAGTTGTTGTTTTTTTGGCAACTGCAAGCGCCCACAGCTCCGGCTGCTGCTTGGAACCGCATGCTAGCCCAAGCAAATCCGCAGGTGAAACCTCCACCACGCCTGCAGGGGATGGCGGTGATCAGGCCCGGGTAGCAAAATGTTGTCAAGGCGAAGTTCACAAAGATCACCTCGATCCGCCATCTTCCCAAGTATCAAATATCCACTTTGACCGAGGGAAAAGCCATGACCATGCACAGCGCAGTGGCGTTGAATGTATGTTGCTTCTATGACGTATAGTTCTACCTAATCCCGAAGTTTGTCAGAGCAAGAAAAAAATCACAAACACTTCTCCCACGACCAAAACGTGGCCCCTCCGCTCCGCCAACCCTCACGAGCGCTTCCTGTGCAACAGGACTTGTTTCACAGCTTGCAATCGTGGGGCACAAGTCTTATTTCCTTGCGACAAGTTGATTACCAAGCTTTCCAATGAGGCAGCCCAAAAAGAAAAGCCCTCATTCTGACCAATGCTGCCTATGGCAGCTCCATTCGCCGAGGCGCCAGTTGGTTGAACCACACCAGCCGCAGCACTGAGCTGAAGCTGGTCCCTGCCTTGCGAAGGGCCAGGTGAGCCACGATCAATATTCATTGAGTCATTGAGCCCACAAGTTGCATTTGAGGAATTTGCGTTTCCCCACCCTTCCTCGGTAAATAGTACACTGCATCCCTCGTAGCAAACAGGACATCTTGACTCTTACATGTTGGAAAGAGTACCTGTTTCCGGGTTGTTCTAAAGAGGGAAACTGTGAAGCCGACTGCCCCTTTTACGGGCTGTTTTCCGGAGGGGCAAAAACGGAATTTGGAGTTGCCCTATTTGGAGACAAACCCATGTTGGGCAACCCAGGGATTCAGTCCCAGATTGGTCAAGAGAGATGGTCACTAGCATGTGCACGCCTCGCAATGATCGGATTGAACATATCCCCCTCCTGTTTAAGCATCACCTCAAACATGTCCACTCCGAACTTTCCAAAAGGCATGACCGAGAGCTGGAGCCTACCTCACGCGCACGACAACAACGGCCGGCAAAGAACGGACAAAGACCCACAAAGGTTCCGGCCGCGGAGGTGGTAGCCAATCATTGGAAATACAGTTGGTAATACCCTCCACTTCAGGGGCCAGCGCCGGGAAATTGGGGACCTCCCCACAAGTGTGTTACCGTGGTTCACCTGCTGGTCTCCCCAGCCAAAAAGGGGATCACAAGAATCAAAGCAAAACCAACTCGTAGGGTCGTAGGGGAGTGGTCCGCAAACAGCCTTTGTCTACTTCGTCTCTTGGACAGATCTGGCTGTTGATGCTGGTTGACTTGCCTGGTTGGAAATCATGTCGATTTCGCACCAAAGTGCAAATTCCGAGCTTTTCTGGCAGCATTGCCAAGTCCAATGCATCTCTCAGAAGCCTGTCCGTTCTTTTAGGCATGTTTGTTTTTTCCAACCAACCTGGGCCATCACCCATTTGCCACCCCGCCCCGCGCCTCACTGTTGAGCTCCAGTCCGTTTGCAGACTCCTTGCATTGCTCCCCAGCAAAACACCCTCGCCTCCGAGCACGGCGAATCGCAAGAATCGCTCCTCGGAGTCATGATAACCACCAGGACTGAAGCCTCAGCGGAATCGGCGGAAACCTCTTTTGTAGCGTTCGTCTTTGTGACTCCAAGGTGAAGGGGCTTTCTGCTCCAAATTCATGAGGCCCGCATAGCATGGGCAAATTGCTGTAATTCGCAAACCGGAAAGAAGGAAACTTGAAGATCTTGAAGGAATCATCCTGGGTGAGCTTGTCTTATCCCCGAATTGGTGAGCGCCCCGCCCCCAAACGCAAACGATCGATGTCTCACGGGCGCACCGCAGGCGTAGGGCAAGGGGGACTCAAAGCGGGACGCTTTGTCCATGAGCTTCTCCTCAAGATTCAGATCCTCGGGCTGGGGGCAGGGCGTTCGGCCCCATGGTGGCGTTTTGTTTGCTTCCTGAAGCGCAGAACTGGGATTTCTTCATAGTTGGGTCCACTGTGGCCACTGCGGCAGTGGTTCAAGAGCCTCCAAAAGTCATTTCGGCTTCTAAACGCCAAAATGGGCATCAAATAGATACGGTTGAACAAAGGCAAAGGGAGATTGTCCGCGTTGAGACGTCCTTGCAGGTTGCCAGTTCCTTGTCTGGGTGCAGGCCAGCCACCCAGGGTCCGGCAAGAAAGGCTCCCAATCTGGGCCCCGGATTCCTTTGCATGAAGTCCTTTTTGCAGAGAGTCACAGAAAGGGTCCCCTTGTTGAACCGAGGGCCGCACCTCGTTTGAAGCCATATGCCGGGAGATTGGCAAGGACATAAGCGTCCTGCACCATGCCCCCAAATGGGCATGTGATTTTGGAGGGTACCCTTTCCAGGTAGGTTCAAAGAGAAACCAAAAAGAACCCCACTCCCTTTTGGGACCTCCAAAAGGCGAAACAAATCAGACCCCCGACAGTCGAAATAACTAATCCGAACCAAGAACAAGCTCCAATAGAACTCCAGTGAGCAAATTCCAGCGAGTGGCATTGGCGCAGGCCAAAAGGAAAGTGTGTGCGTCCGTGTGTTGCGCCGCGTGTGCTTGCTCAAGGGAGCTCTGCAGTCCACATGCAACCCGCACCTGTAGGCGCAAATGCAGACTAGAACTGTGACGAGGGCAATGATGAAGTAGGCACCTCAAACATGGCCACGGTTCCCTCAAGCAGCCAATGAGAGAGGCTGCAAAGCCAGTTGCACAAACCTTCGCATACTCCGGGCACTTGAATGTGAAAGTAAAACCAGACACGCCCTATAAGAAGGCTCGATGACAACAGACCACCTGCCGGAAGTCATTCGCTAGCTGAGGCTGCTGCACGTCGCATCTGCAATGTCATGTGCCAAGAGCAGCTTCGTGGCATCACGGTAGACGACCGACACCAGCGTGCCAAAGCCGATCCCTGGCTTCCAAGGATCCGATCAATCGGTATCTCTTGTTTACTTGGGAGCTGTGTCCCATGCAAGACGAAACTGGTGAAAGACCAAAGGAGAACGCCCACTTTCAGGGGTCCATGTTTGAGTATGAAACTTAATCGGAGTCCTTTGATCTGGAAACCTGCCATTTAGGGGACCATTGTTTGACATTGCGGATCAAGCCCAGTCTCATACTGCAGATGCCTGCCTATTTGCAAGTACTGCTGCATGCTGGTGCTATATCTCAGTCGCAGGTACAGCTCTTTCTCGCTGCCGGCTCTCGCAATGGACTAAGAGGTCAAGCGGGGGCATGATTTGGACATTTGGGCCATGGGTCAAAATCCCGTACCCCCAGTGAACATCCCAATCCCCACTAAAATAGACTAAAATGGGTGGTGCACCTACCCACAATAGTACTATTGGTTTTGACCCACAGCCATTTGACTGGTTGTGAGGGGCAATCAAAGTCAGAAACTGGGATTGTTTCCCTTTCACCTAGCACTGAACCCACTGCCCATCTCAGGTCAGCGCTGCGAGCACAGCGAAAACAAGGCGGAGTCCAAGTAGCCGGTGGCCACGGAACCTCAGGCGCGGTCCAAAATAGCCCGGCGGTTCCCCGTAAAATGGTCAAAGAATTGGTGTCCACCCCGCCCCCCGTTTTGCGGGAAAGTCTGTGAGTCCCCGTAACTTGGGTGGGACATGTCGGGTTTCCCCCGGGTGTTTGTGGCCCATGCCCTTCCCAAGATGGACCATAGACTACAGGTTGTTGGACCGAACCTCATGCCAGAGTCACAACTGGTTTGACTCTGTTCATGGTTCCCAAGGAATGCTCGTACATGATGGTTGCCCAAACCCCTACGGGGTTCATGCACGGTAGAGCGCATGTGATTCAAACACATCCACCCGCCCCCTTTTGGCTCACTTACGTTCTCTCATGTTTGCCCACCATTCAAAAAGCGCAAACGGCTACCATGTCGAAAACCTTCGACGCATACGAGTAGAAAGGAGAGTGGCGTCGCCATGCATTGTCCCTTTAGATCTGGCCCCAACAAAGCGGACCGCGGTCAAGAGGCTCCCATCGCCTCCCATCTGTACATTACTTTGTATTCGCAAACAACAAATAACGAATCTCCATGGAAGAAACCACAATCATCGGTGAGTTCTTATACTCCAATGATGAGCTCGTTGTCAGCTTCTCACACTGTGCCACAGTGCGTCTGTCAGGTGCATGGGCCACCCTGCAAAGCAGCACCACTCCCAGCAACAGCTGGTAAAGCCTGGTGCGACGTGATGCGAGTCTGTCCACAAACATGTTTGGACCCGGTTTTCGTCCAACTAGTTGTTCAAGAAAATACAGTGCCCCTGAAAACAAACGTGCGGACGGATGGTTCCGCTCGCCGAGGTGAGCCTGATCTGCAGCAAAAAGGCAAGGCACGGCTTGGCAATGACAAATTCGCTTCTGCACAGCTAGTTTCGCTCGCAAATGTACCACGAGTCGTGCTGTTTTATTCGAAACTATAGTGGGTGGCCAAGGCTCGACTGCGCCGAAAAGCCTCGGGTCTTCGCCATGATCCAAACTCATCATATTGAACTGTTGGGCTGTGCCCAGTCACCGGGATCCTGTTTGTCTTGATACCTACCCAACCCATCGCAAGCACAGCT